GAAACAAAACACTCTTTTTGGTTTTGACACCTTTTCTTGGGTCTAGTCCCTAGTCTTTTTACGGGTCTGGTACTCAGTCTGACAGCACGGCAGGGAGAAGTCTTGCTCCTTACCCACAGCCTCACCCTAGCTCTGAGCAATCGGCACGGTAAAGCAAACGGGAAGGTCACACGCCTGTGAAATACCTACGGTGCTGCCCCCCAACCTCTCCCCCAGCTTCTCCCTCTGGGAGAGCAGGGTTATCTCAGCCTGTGCCAAAGCCAAATTTTATACCGTGGAAACATAACGAGGCAGGACCTTCAGTTTTCCTGAGCCGAAAAAGCAGAGGTGGTGCATGAAATCGTGCAAGAGCAAGCCAGGCAGACAGCATGAATCAGAGGGAGCAGTGACAGCACGGAGGAGGAAAGCCCTCCTGGCAGCCAGCCGGGATGAGGCAGAGCTCCCGTTGCGTGCGTTCCCGCAGCACCCTGCCCACCCAGCCTGACAAACCCTTTCAGTCAATAATGAATAACAGCGGGAAGCTGGCGAGCAGCGTCCTTCATCCGGCGGCAGCTCAGCCGCCTCGGCTGGGGTGACTGTCCAACGCGCCGTCTGAAAGCGAACTGCTCTGAAATTCAGAGCCATCACGTTTTGGCTTGCACGAGGCAGACCTGTGATTCAGGTCTATCATATACGCATGGGAAATATGCATGATGAATAATCATATATTAACAGACGAGAAATGTTCGGTTGCCACCTCCAGAAAGGAAAAGCACCTGGTTTCAGCCCCACACGCCCTCGGGTGCCGGGCTCGGCTGCTCCCCGGCGCTGGAGGCAGGCGTGGGTACGGCCGCTTCCAGCTGTTGTGGTCACCTTCTCCGGTCGCAGGCAGCAGCCTCTCCCCGCTCCGCTGGGTCCCTTCCAACCCCTACTATTCTGTGATTCTGTGATTCTGTGATTCTGTTTACCGTAACTGCGGGGTGGCTGATGCCTGCAAATTACTGTGCTTGCATTGCATTCGGCCATTACTACACTTTTTGAGGGGGATGAACTTAGTTTTTAACTCAAAATCGAGCTAGAATTGATATAAACCATTAACCCATAAATCCTGCCTAAATCAACATAGCGCAGTCTTTTAATGTAGACACTGATGAGCGTGCACGAGCCTTCTGGGACGGGCTGTGAAGGGAGAGGGCATTTTCTGCTCTGCTCTTGGAATTAGCATGCCAGGCCTGGCTCGGCAGGGCTGGAGCGCGCGGTCCCTCCGCGGCAGCGGGCACCGTAAAGGTCACGCCTGCCGCAGGCTGTTGTACCCAGCAGCACCGCTTGGCTGGTCTTCGCAGTCTAATTGCCACCGACCCCGTGACAATGAGGTAATGTCTCTGACTCCCGGGTCAGATAAACGCTGCTCGTTTTGTAACCGCCAGACACGTTACTGAAAAACGGATCGGAAACAACTGAAAGTCCCATGACTGGTAGAATATAAACTCTGGCACTCCTGGTCTTTAATTGAACACTCAGGGTTTTTGCTCCTGATGCCTGCTTAGAATCGGAGCCCTCGCCCCGGCTCTGGCCAGGGATGCTTCTCCTCCAGCCTTTGCCTCAGGTGGCCTCACCGAAACCAAGAGGGAGAGATGGGAAACGGCCAGGAAAACGCGCGGGTGGGAGGACGCCATCGGTGAGGAACAACGTGGCTGAAGACGATGTTCAAACGGATTTCCAAACCCCAGGCTCCAAACCAGCCGGGGCAGGAATCGAAGGGAAGAGCTGTGCCAGGGACTGCCAGCCGGCAACTCGCCTCACGCGAGCTCAGGGCTGCTGGCACGGCAACTCCGAACAGCGCGAGATCAACGCTGGCCTTCATTCTTCATCAATGACCTGGATGAAGAGTTAGAGCGTACCCTCAGCAAGTTTGCTGATGACACCAAACTGGGAGGAGTGGTGGACACACCGGCAGGCTGTGCTGCCATCCAGCGAGACCTGGACAGGCTGGAGAGTTGGGCAGAGAGGAACCTGATGAGGTTCAACAAAGGCAAATGCAGGGTCCTGCACCTGGGGAGGAACAACCC